AATAATTATAATACACCCCATACACCCCCCCATCCTCCCTCATCTGAACACCGACAGAGGGTGGTGGCGTCCCGGTGCCACCCGGAGGGCCAGAGGCGAGTAGTTTCCCGTCAAAGTACCCTCCATGACCCTCGTCCGCCCAGCAGCCCCACTCTCTCTCTCTCTCCTTGCCGCCCATAGTGGAGCGTCGGTTCACCTGCAACACTGTGCAGAAGATATTCGCCACGCCACCAACAAAAAAAGGCGATTCCGTCTCGAAAGAGAAAACTGAGTGAGCAGATGGCTCCACTCGAGATACAAAGTAAAGTACACGAGGAGCAGGCGGGTTTTCTCGTACCCTCTACTACACCCTGCATATTTTATGCAAACGGAATAATACGCGCGAATTAGCCGTGCAAAACTAACGCGCGACAAACGCTGATGTACCTCTACAGTTGAGCCCGTGTGCCTCGCGGCGCTGGCGCTGCTGCTGGGTCCGTCTTATTGTTAGCAATTGTAATACGGCAGCTGGCCCGCTCGTGCGGCCCCGGCCCGCCCGACTGGGGCGGCTGTCTGGCCGTCGCTGCTCCCAGGGCGCCGTGCCGCCCGGGCGGACGTTACGCCAATCCCATCACGTCCCATATACCGCTACCTCTGTTCCCTACCCGTCTGTGCTGTAGGAAAAAACAAACACGGCGTGCCAGTTTCCCGCGAGCAGTTTGAAGCAGGCACGCAAAATAACATGTCACACAATTTTCAGAAAGGATTGCTTGTTCGATTGTATCTTGCGAACACTTTTGAAGAGACTAAGATAACACTGGGATTTTTTTTTTGTGTTTTGACTTAAACCGCAACCTGCTGGTGGGTTTGAAAACCCCCACGCACACACATGCACACACACACACACAAAAACAACAACAACAACAAACAACTAAATACAAAATATCTCTTACATCCCAGTCGGCCCCACATCCTGCCCCGGGACCTGGACCGCAGGACCCGGCAGGACCGCAGGTGCGCCCGGCGCGAAACACTTACGGTAACGGCGGGCATGTGAATGCCACGAGCAGCCAGCGGCGAGCACCAGGCGTCCACGAGATACGTGGGGCGTG